GGGGGGGGGGGGGGCGATTGGTAACTTTACGGCGTACGGGTAAACAGTAGAAGTAAGAATTCTCAGAGCTTCACACGCCACGGTTCCGGTACATTGTATAAAGGTATCAGATGTGAGGGGACATGGAATAAAGGTGTCACATGGAAGGGATTTACGTCGTTAAGCTCTACGTGATAAAGACCTTAAGATAATGATGCCCGTTGGTCACTGTCACTAAGCGGTACTTACGTCCCTGTCCTCGGTGCTGAAATGGACTCGCTTGGACGTTTTGTCTACAGGGCCTAAAGCACGAGGAGAAGACAACCATGTCACGGTCACTCGCATTTCCACACATTTAATCGTACATAGTCTAAACTTGCACACAGTGTTTTAGCATCTTTTGGGTACATTCCTACATGCTATTTTTTTTATTGTATCCACACGCTCAGCTCATATCTTACATTATCCTGATTACATAATATTCACAGCACATGTCAGTGATATTTCTGCAACCAAAACAGACAGCGTATATCAATCTAATTGTTTTTTTTACTTTACAAGTGACTAAGTTGATGACTCAAAAGATTTTTGAGAGCCTACTTCTTAGTTGTGTTAATTGTACAACCGTTGTCATTGATTACTGCATATCTGACAATTCCGTTGAAAGATTATCAGTTCTCATTCTCAGTTCCTAATCATAGAAAACTATACAGCCAAGTATTGGTGTAACTACAAGCCTTAACGGAGTAAGATAACACAAACGGTTATGGTCGCCAGGCCAACGGCACACATCAGAGCCCTGTCCAGCACAAGGGCCGCCATCTTCCACTCGTCCTGGTCCTCTTCTTCCTCTTTCTTCTCCCGGGCTTGGGCCGAGTATTCCCGGCTGTAGCGTGCGATCTCGCGCACAGACAGATCCAGTGACAGACTCGGCGCGTCCTTCTGTTGGATGGCTTCGAATTCCTGATCAGAAAAATCGTCGGCTCCCTCTTTGGCGGGGTGAACCACGTGCTTCTCCCCCGCGATGGTGTTCATACAGAAGAGGCGAGCCAGGTAGCGCAGCAGAAGCAGGCGGAGCCAGCGGGGCAGCGGGCGGGAGGGCGGGCTGCTGTAGGACAGGCGGATCACCACGATGGAGGCCAGGCACGAGAAGCCCACCAGCGCGATGGTGGCGGCGAAGAACTGGCCTGTGACGGGAATGTGAAATACATTATAAGACAGAAGAACTCTTAGAACATCAGCGTTCTGTCCTTTTTTTGTAAGCCGCTCTACAGACACCAAATGACAGAGAAATTCATGATTGATATGGGTGCTTACCAAGCTGAGGAGTAGTTGTGGAAGTTTTTGGCAGAGAGTCCGACAGAACTTGCAAGAAGACGACGAGAGCCAGCAGGATGGTCATGAAGAATCCCATCCGCTCGCCGCTGTCCGGGGGGATGTAGAACCCGAACACGTTCAGGATCATCAGGATGGCGCAGGGCACGACCATGTTGAACATGTAGAAGAAGGACCGACGCTCCAGTTGCATTTTAAGGAGGATGCTGACGTAGGGTTCGGGGCAACAGGTATAGATGGCAACCTGCATGTGAGTACGCGGTACTCCATGTCAGCAACACAAACAGCAAAAGATGAAGGTAGAATTTTACAATATTGAATCATGTACAATTTACGTACATTCTGTGTCGTTACCTTTCTTTCCATCGGTACCCCATTCAGGATCCATTCCTCGTTTGTGGTGAAGATGCCGCGGTCTGCAGTGGGGTTCACCAGGGAGATGTTCAGTTTGACGCCGGTGTAGACCCAAGACCCAAACTCCAGAATGCATTCCTGTAGAACAGTTCACGCGGCAAAATTAGATACAGAGCACATGTTGGCTGCCTTGTGGTGAAACTATCATACGCACCAAGCTGTCAATCATACGGAGGCATTGGATATCAAACTTTGACTGTTTAGGATCCATGGCGCCATTTCATTGTACATGGTTCACTCGTTTTCGTCCCATCCTATTCACGTCCAAACCTAAGGAGGGAAAATATTATCATATCTCGAATATTTCAGATATCCAGGTGTACCTGCTTGTCGAATGGAAACCTTGAAATATCCACTGGGCACGAGCTGGTAAAGATGGCGGGCTGGAGGTACGTCACTCGTCCTGCACTGGTCACCGTGACGTCAGTGATGGCGTCTATGATACCGTACGTCTCGGCTATGCTGTCATGACAAAAGAGAACCAAACTTTTACAGAGGACGTACTGGATTATATAGATAGTACTACAACGTAACTCGGGAGATTGGATCTAAGGGTAATGTCAGTATATAAAAACTACACGAAAAGCGTAAAAATTCTGTAATCTATGGAATATAACTTCATTGAAGAAACAGTAAAAGACATCCTGAAAGGCATGCTCCATCACCATGGTTTCATATTAAATATCCCGTCTTTGTCTACACAATCAGGTATACTCACTTGTTGTAGAGGAAGATGTCAGGCCTCCAAATGTCGGAGGAATGGATGGTTAAGGAGTCCACACCGCCGTGCTCTGAGGCGTTCCACATCAGGTACTCATCCACCCAGTACTGAACGTTAAGAATACAGATACATGTATCAGGTAATCGCTTTTGTCTACATAATGCAGCTTGTAAAACCAAAAACTGATAGAGTATGCATAATATACAGTTTAATCAACAAATGTGATTAAAAAGGTTGAACTGTAGCGGTCTTTGTTTTTAGTAATCAGAAGCTCTTTATGATACTCACCAGACGCAGCCACATGTTGATTCGGAATGTCTGCTCTTTTTCCGCCTGAAAAGGAGAAATTATGGACCTTGTGGTCAACACGGGACAACTCTGCATAAACTTTGGATATGTGCTTCAAACTACGGTGGTATGGTCATCGCGATAAACATATGTGCAGTATATGGGCGTTGCAATGGCTATCTTAGATCTCCACTTGCTAATTTAAAAGGGTAAAATACACCCTGTATGTACTGTTTATTCTTTACAAACATATCTGTGACGGTGCGGCCCAGATTGATGGATCCAATTTGATCAAAGGGGAATTTTTTTCTCACCAGTTCAATAATCTGCTTCAGTGAGATGTCGAAGTCCACATTTACAGCTGTAGACGCTGACTTGACCGGCCTCAAACTTTTGTCATAGTTGGACAAGAGGGACGACTTTAAGGCTATGGCCTCATCCTGGCTTATGGACCCTGAAAATACAAATTTAAGTTCCTTACGCTGTTGTTATGAAGGATAGAGGTGGCTAGGGCATTTCGTCTTTGTGTAAATTTCCCTTCCAGTGGCCAAGAAAAACGTCTGTATATTTGTTGTGAATGTAATATAAGCCACAGAGTAGAGTAGAGCGAGTCACTGTATAAACAGATGGTTTGAATAAATCTCTGATGCAGCGTATACATTCGCACACACTTCTTCATTGAAAGAAAAAGGAAGCCGTGGGCTGTTGACAATAATTTTGTTGAACACAGTCTTGGTATGTAATTTGCGACTAAAAACAGCTTTATTAGTATACAAGAAGCAGTGATTTGCACATGAATCTCATTAGCTACTGACATGGCAATGTACCAGGAGATTCAACATACGCGGAACACCGTACCAAGAAACCTCTTACACTCGTAATGCTTTATTCAGCGGATCCGGACAATAATTACATGGGGTCCAAACCAATGTGTACATACCTGGTATCCATGTGAAAAGTACCGTAAGGAGTAAAACGCCAAGAGAGGTCTCCATGCTGCCCGTGGTCGGTGGTTAGAGGTAAGGTGACCAACAAACCACACTGAACTAACGAATCGGATGACGGTGAAGCTATTCAGGCGTGTGACATATGATGCCGCTACATCGCAAGGCCATTGGCTTTTATTGAATAGCTGAATGGGGGAGCTGGAAGACAAGTACACCTTTTCTCTTTCACATGCCCTCTTTGGTCAATATCTTTGCGTCCCTATAAACCTTTCCGAAGGTGTTGGATTTCTCCATAATATTCGTCAGGACGTTAGAGAATGTGCCCGTCCGGGCGAGCTGTGTTGTACCGACGCCAGACTGACACCAGAGAGGGTCTGTACCTGTTACACCACAACACCGGCCGTTTTCATCCCAACCACAAATCATGTCAAACAGCCTGTTTGCTTGTTTTGTTTTATTGTTCCACATGAAATACTACCGCAATTACATACATCTTCTACTCTAATGTATTCCTTAAATTTTACTGAGGACTTTAAATTTGTTTAAAAAAAATCACACTCACGCTCGAACAGAATTGATATGGCACAGATGGCAGCAAGGACGACAAAATTAGATCAAAATCAAATCAAATATTCAATACTCGCTTCTTTGTCCATGAACACAAGGTATATAGTTCCTTATCTTGACGTCCACAACTGAGTCAGATGACCTAACGGAGTAGCACGACACAAACGATGATATTTGCCAGGCCAACGAGATACAAAAAGGCCCTGTCCAACACAAGGGCCGCCATCTTCCACTCGTCCTGGTCCTCTTCTTCCTCTTTCTTCTCCCGGGCTTGGGCCGAGTATTCTCGGCTGTAGCGTGTGATCTCGCGCACAGACAGGTCGAGCGAGACACTCAGCGCGTCCTTGGCTTTCTGCTGGCTGGTGTCGCTGTCGTAGTCCGTGAAGACGAGATTATCGACGCCCTCTTTGGCGGGGTGAACCACGTGCTTCTCCTCCGCGATGGTGTTCATGCAGAAGAGGCGAGCCAGGTAGCGCAGCAGAAGCAGGCGGAGCCAGCGGGGCAGCGGGCGGGAGGGCGGGCTGCTGTAGGACAGGCGGATCACCACGATGGAGGCCAGGCACGAGACGCCCACCAGCGCGATGGTGGCGGCAAAGAACTGGCCTGCAAAAGGATGGGATAGATCACTGTCATATATATATAACAACATCATTTATTGGTGTAAAGATACATTTGTACTATCATTGGACTTATCAAGAGCCTCCTATCTAGTTTCATAAGAATATAAGGGCCAGATGAGGAAAAGCCTGCAAGGCTATTATATCAGAATTTTCTTCATATCTGTGTGGACAGACGGATAAAATGGATGCGTTAACGATAGGCATTGATGCTTACCAAGCTGAGGAGTAGTTGTTGACGTTTTTGGCAGAGAATCCGACAAAACCTGGAGAAAGACGACGAGAGCCAGCAGGATGGTGATAAAGAATCCCAGCCGCTCGCCGCTGTCCGGGGGGATGTAGAAGCCGAACACGTTTAAAACCATCAGGATGATACAGGGGAGAACCATGTTGAACATGTAGAAGTAGGACCGACGTTCCAGTTGCAAGGTGAGGACGATCGTGACGTAAGGGTCGGGACAGCAGGGGTAGATGGTCACCTGTTGAATGTACGGAAGGTCACAAACTTATATCGAATGCCTAAGACTAGATGAACTGAGCACAGCACAATCGTACCCCTGAATCCTACATACATGTAACACCACAATACCACAACACAACACAATGCAACACATTACAAAATAGCGGCATCTAATACTAGTATCATAACACCACAAAAACAATACACAACAGTGACAACATAGTGCAGCACAAGACAGCACAAAACAATCGTTTCATGTTCTTACCAGTCTGGTCATGGGTACTCCATTCAGGATCCATTCCTCGTTCAGGGTAAATATGCCGCGGTCTGCAGTGGGATTCACCAGGGAGATGTTCACCTTGCCGCCATCATAGATCCAAGACCCAAACTCCAGGAGACATTCCTGAAAAAATGGTACATGTATCATGAAATGATACGTCTTGGTCATCGTTGTTGATTCTGTTAGAATAAACGAATGACAAACTTGAGATAGGCTCCATCTTTACGTTGGACTAATAATATCTATGCGGCACAATTCAGTGTAACGATAATAACGCACACATCTTTCCCGTTATGAAAGGTGCATATCATGCGGCCATGACACAACGCAGGTGTTGAGAAATCTTCTAAAATTTAGCTACCTGTTTGTCAAATGGGAACTTCGTGATGTCCACTAGGCACGCGCTGGTAAAGATGGCGGGCTGGAGGTATGACACCCGTCCGTCACTGGTCACGGTGACGTCCGTGATGGGCTCTATGGCACCGTACGTCTCGGCTATGCTGTTGGCATTGAAATGAAACATACAGGAAAACGAAGGGAACGATTAATTAGATCTATCTGGAGATTCAATTCAAATCTCATTACTGTAAACGGTAGAAAAGGAATACCAATACCTTTTTATATACACCAACTTTTTCATAACTTTAAAACTTTGTCTACTCACTTGTTGTAGAGGAAGATGTCAGGCCTCCAAATGTCGGAGGAATGGATGGTTAAGGAGTCCACACCGCCGTGCTCTGAGGCGTTCCACGTCAGGTACTCATCCACCCAGTACTGAACGTGAATTACACAGGTCATCAAATACTGCACCCATAGGTGTTACGGACACTACTACATTGTAGTAGTAGAACAATAAATGATGTCAAAGTTGGCCAGAAATTATATCATCAGCTTTGCACCCGTTTTAATCATTATGTGATGTACATATAATACTTACCAGTCGCAGCCAGATGTTGATTCGGAATGTCTGCTCTTTTTCCGCCTGACAAAAAGAAAAATCATCAACCACTTGCGTTAACATTTAATGTCTAATAGACCCTTCAAATTTTTTGATCCAACCGTTTATGTGTCAAACATAAACTATAAAGACAGCGTAGAACATATTAAAGTGATACAAGTGATACGCGTATGACGACTAGCCCCTGTCTATCGATGAAATTCCAGCAAAGGGATAGATTTTTCTCACCAGGTCAATAATCTGCTTCAGTGAGATGTCGAAGTCCACATTCACAGCTGTAGACGCTGACTTGACCGGCCGCAAACTTTTGTCATAGTTGGACAAGAGAGACGCCTTCAAGGCCACAGCCACATCTTGGCTGACCGACCCTGAAAATACATCACTGTGTTGATGTTGGGGATTTCTATTCATGTAATATTACGAAGGTCGTGGCCAGGGGGTCTTTGTCTTCTCCTTGTTGGGGAAGCCAGTTCGAACAATATTGCCAAGACGGACAAAAAACCTTTCATGGGACTGCAAAGGACAACGAGAAGGCACCCACATACTTGAGAAGCAGCGCTAGCAACGTTAACATGCTGGCAGGATCGGAACTCACTAAGCAAGCTAACGTCACCAGTTGAATTTATTCGATTCTAACCTTTGAGACTGATGATAGATCCTAGTCAACTAGAACACTTTGGAGTGTAATCATGGAATTGTTAACGTATTGATAGATACATACCTGGAATCCAGATAAAAAGCGTTATAAAAAGGAAAAAGCACAGAACGATCTTCATGCTGTCCGTACTGTGGAGAAGTGAGGAGGGAATGTATCCAGTGGAGGGTCTGATGACAGTGAGGCTATTCAGGAGTGTGACATTTGCTGTAATTTTAGCTCGTCCCCATAGCGATACGACGTAAGGTTAGATTTCCCTACATGGAATCCCTGAATGGGTCAGTCAAAAGACAGGTGTACCTTTTCGCGTGCGGTGACCCTTCAGTAGTTTCTATAGAAGCTGTGGCTAAGGATGAGATTTCTTAGTCACATTCGTCAGTACGTTTAATAATGTACCTGTCTGGGTTAGCATTGTGATACAAACTTAAGGCTGAGTCATGCTGACACAATGGCCGTTCTGTACTTCTCGACCGAGACCATTCCTTGATATCTTTACAGTGCATATTTACCACTAGATGGAACTGATTGCAGCTTACGTTGTGTAATACGATCGTAGTGTCTCCCTCGGCCCACTTCTTGTAACAACTAGTCAATGATATCGATTCCATTTAAAGCATCTCATACACGACAGTAAATTACAAGATAGATGCAAAAGGCGAAATGTCAGGCTTTATATTGCTTCAAACTCGTTCTCTCTTAAAGTTACAAAGCTAGAACGTCTTTTGAGACGAATTTTGTCCTTGATTTATGTAACTATAACTACACGTAATGCACCAAACAAACGTATGATAAAAATGTGTTGTCAACTGATTCTACCACTTTCTCGCCTGAGCCTGAGTTCATGACCCCACAGCATCAATGACCGCTCGGTGACTCAATTATAGGTGATCCCCAAGCAGATGTTGGGATGGCAAATGATGCCATGTAAAGAAATATTCACTCTCTTCTTCATCATATTGCATTTATGACGCGAAACATGAAGCACGCTTTCTATTCGTTCCTTTTTATTTCATTAACTTGTGCTAAAAAGAGCTAAAGAAAGCAGAGAAGAAATACATTATAGACCACGGTGTTTTGACAAACAACAAAATTTAAAACTTTGAAAAGGTCTCGGGTTCCTCGGCATGAATGGGCAGTGTTTTGTACACAGCCCGGCCGAAACATGACAGCAAACAAAAGTAAACAAGGTGACCCTGACATGACGTGGTACTGAATCATGACGCAACACAAATGCGGATGGATAGTCTCGATCGCAACCACCACTCGTCGTCGGTTTCTTCATTGATTATCGTTTGAATATCAACATTGGTTTGATGCTTGGATATTTTAAAGGGGAAGTCCAATACTTTCAGTTTTGGGGCCTTTCTACCCAAAATCCTATTTGTAAATGGTGATTTATTGGTTTCTGCCAACCCCGCACATATTTGCCGTGGTATCTGACCCGATCGATGTTTCGCGGCTAGCGCCAGATTGTCCGCTAGGCGGCGCTGCGACTGAATCTGTGACGTAAAAGGTTTCATTCTGCTACTAGCGTAAACAACAATGGCGGGCGTGCAACCCTTCCGATTTGAACCACAAACTGACAGTAGTGGCGACTCTGAGCCCGATCCAGGCGATGACAACGTTTGGGATGGCGGTGATGTGGAGACAGAGCGTTGGAGGTTGGGGAACCGGGACTGGTGCCGGTGTGGAAACGAAGACAATAGAAACTGCCTGGAAATGCCCTCTGTACGGGAGAGTGTTTGTTGTCACGACCTGCCAGAGCTGACAGACACTGAAAAGAACGTCGGTACAGAGACCACCCATGCATCAGAAACCACCCTGACTTCGATGTGATTCTGCACCCGGCAAACCTCCTAACTTTGCTGATTTTTCGGTGGGATCTGATCCGGCAGGGCGTGCAGGAGCCGGTCTCTAACATGTCAGTACCGCGGTTTGTTTACGTTGTAATTCACTCAACCCTTTGACGGATTTATTTATATCGACCGCCCATACGCCCAACAGAAAGGAATTGAGGTGGCAGAATACTACCTTTCCTGTTTTGTGGTTTATAACAACTTGTCAAAACAACACCTTTTTGTCTGCTAATTACAGTACATTTCTGTATGCGTTCTAATCTTTGACACATGTGTTAGTCGGATTTACATTTTCCCATAATAATTGTGCTCACAGCTAGTACAGTGGTCGTCACATTTTTGGTTCCATCTGGAATTGTAAGGCTTTGAAATCTGAGGTGCTATTTGTTTTAAATAAAGAAAACAGCTAGCTACATGCGTACTTCTGCCATACAGACTGAAAATTTCAACAGAATTCAATGACAACTAGAGTTCCACGAGCATCCAGGCTCGAAATGGTCTGAACACACCCGCCAGTGGACGCTCTTCTTGTGTACTAACTCCTTGATTTTCTCCGGCGTCAGTTTATTTACAAGATTGTTCCTCATGCTGACCAACCACCTGTGTAGCCTATCGTGGTCTTTTGGAAACTTGTGGAAGCTTACGCCGCGCTCCTTTGACGCAGGGCCATACCAACAGCCACAACTTGCACAACGCGGCATACTTGCAGCGAGCTATGTACTGGCAGACAGACTGAAATGGCGCGCGCTCCAAATCTGTTCCAATGAAACCTTTTACGTCACAGATTCAGTCGCAGCGCCGCCTAGCGGACAATCTGGCGCTAGCCGCGAAACATCGATCGGGTCAGATATCACCGCAAATATGTGCGGGGTTGGCAGAAACCAATAAATCACCATTTACAAATAGGATTTTGGGTAGAAAGGCCCCAAAACTGAAAGTATTGGACTTCCCCAGTACTAAAGACGTTATGGGTGGACCGTCAGTAGGGCCACTATCAAAGGTTTTCCTGCCATCAATTATTGGAGCAGAATCAGACAAACAATAATGCTTCCCAGGCCAGTGACAAACATCAGAGCCCTGTCCAGCACCAGAGCCGCCATCTTCCACTCGTCCTGGTCCTCTTCTTCTTGCTTTTTCTCCACATGCTGATGGCTGAAGTCCCGGATGTGACGGATGACCTCACAGAGATGGAGATCGTGCGTGGAAGAACGCGAGTTTCCCTCTTTGCTGTCTGTGTGGGCGAGAATTTCGACGTCTTCTTTGATGGGGGTAACCACGTGTTTCTCCTCCGCGATGGTGTTCATACAGAAGAGGCGAGCCAGGTAGCGCAGCAGAAGCAGGCGGAGCCAGCGGGGCAGCGGGCGGGAGGGCGGGCTGCTGTAGGACAGGCGGATCACCACGATGGAGGCCAGGCACGAGAAGCCCACCAGCGCGATGGTGGCGGCGAAGAACTGGCCTGCGACGGAACATACATCCATACCAATATCAAAATTATTTGCATTGACAATTCTAATGGTTAGCATCACTGAGCAGTAAGTACAACTGAAAGCATACAAAACATTTGCCTACGAGGAAACTGGTTAAAAATATGACTACGTTTTCCTAACCAATTTGTAATCCAATTTGAGCCCTACATGACGGCATCGTAAAGACTTTCGAATTACTAAGCTTGTTATACCAAAAGGTCATTGGAAGCTACAGAGCCTTATAAAATTTCATAAAAAAAGGAAATATTCCAGATTCTTGCGTTTAGCTCACCTAGTTGTGGAGTAGTTGTTGAGGTTGCCGGTAAAGAGCCTGACAAAACCTGCAGGAAAACGACAAGGGCCAGCAGGATGGTCATGGAGAATCCCAGCCGCTCGCCGCTGTCCGGGGGGATGTAGAAGCCGAACACGTTCAGAACCATCAGGATGATACAGGGGAGAACCATGTTGAATATATAGAAGAAGGACCGACGCTCGAGTTGCAGAGTGAAGAGGACACTGACGTAAGGATCGGGGCAGCATGTGTAGACGGCCACCTGTGAGGGATAACCATTAGATACTGGAATAAAATATATTTTAAGATTGAGATGTGAGTATGTTGGTATGTTGAGTATGTTAGAATTGAAATCTTTTTCTTGTGTTCAATAATCATTCCCTCTGACCTTCCTCTCCATTGGCGCTCCTCTCAGGATCCATTCCTCGCTCTTTGTGTAGGTACTCGTGTCCGCGCTGGACTTGATGAGGGAGATATTCAGCTGACTGCCGGTGTAGATCCAGGACCCAAACTCCAATACGCAGTTCTGAAGATATATGAACATTTTGGCGTTTTTCGTTTGATGAATCTGTGTCTTTTCCTCTTGAATATAGTATTACATATGACTTCTGTGTGCATTTGACCTGCTGTAAGAACTCGTCCTTCGACAAGACCCGAAAAAAGCGAAGACATGAAATTGTCAGCATACATCGTCTTACCTGCCGATCAAACGGGAACCTTGTAATGTCCACTGGGCATGCGCTGGTGAAGATGGCTGGTGTTAAGTACGACACCTGTCCCGTGTTGGTCACTGAGAGGTCCGTCACGGTTCCCAAGGCCCCATAGGTCTCCGCTATGCTGCAGTATGCAAAAAGGTAAATATATGACAGGGATTGGATTTCATGGTAATGTTAGTGGAAATCTCGTGACTGCAAAAATGCATACCTGAAAATGAGGAATCCCCACGATCCGCTGTTGATACCAGGCATGTATCGACTGGCACCGCCCCGCAGTTAAAACCACACATATAGACCAGTGACGATCAAGTTAATATGTATTGTCAGTAATTGCCGCAAGGGGACGCTACTTTCTACTCACTTGTTGTAGAGGAAGATGTCAGGCCTCCAAATGTCGGAGGAATGGATGGTTAAGGAGTCCACACCGCCGTGCTCTGAGGCGTTCCACGTCAGATACTCATCCACCCAGTACTGAACGTGAATAACGTACAGTTTATGGCAGTCAAAGGCGACGAAAGAACTACGAAAACCAATCTATTTTAAAGTTTGATGCAGCACATGAAATGCAGACATTACTAGTTGATCAGTACGTACCAGACGTAGCCAAAGGTTCATTCGAAATGCCTGCTCTTTCTCCGCCTACGAAAAAGAAATCATCAAGTAAACGAAGTTGCTCCGCCATATATAAAATGATCTTATCTGACCTAGCCTGGTTACCAAACCTATTATAGCTCCCGAGTCCTTGCGGAGAGGATGTAGGACAGGTTTGGTAACCAGGCTAGTCTGGCGCTGATCATTCAATCTATACGTGTACAAGAAATTGAAAGCCTTGGTTTCACAACATGAGGTTGCTAAACGCAGAAACCTCACAACCATGTATAAACCACAAGCACAGCCATAAGCTACAGTATAATCAAGTACGACATTGAACCTTTAAAAACCGTTCTTACCAGGTCGTTAAAAACCGTTCTTACCAGGTCGATGATCTGCTTGAGTGTGATGTCGAAGTCCACGTTTACCGGAGTGGACGCCGCCTTCACCGGCCGCGAGCTCTTGTCGTACCCGGCCAGGAGGGACGCCTTCAACGCCACAGCCGGCGCCAGACCTGCGGACCCTGGAAATACGCTCTTTTTTTGTACGCAATTTCTCAACTTTCAAGTTCTCATGTACTCAGCACTGAAGTGACAGTTCGTCAACTTTCGCAGGAAGCACAAAGAGAACACGACATTTGCCATACTTGCGCTGAACGAAAAACTAGACAACGCATTTTTCCATCGGAGTATATGCAATTTGACTCCTAGGTGGATGATATTGAACCTTTCTAACTTACTAGAAGTGATTGATACCAAGTCGAGATACTTATAATTAATGTCAACCCATGTTACTGTTTACCTGGTATCCCTGCAAAGAGTACCGTAAGGAGGAAAAAGCCCAGGACAACCACCATGTTCTCCACAGCGCTGGTGTGTGTGGTGCTGTGGCTATCAGCTACAAACGCTCGGGTTGGCAGAAGAATGTTGGACAGTGGGGCCATTCAGGTGTATGTTCTGCCATGCCGCAGGATCACAAGCGCCATTCTCTAATACTGAATTACCAGTTGACAAATGGACAACCTTCTGGTCGCTTACCTGTGAACCGCAGGCGAAGGACGTTACTTTGTACGCTTGAGGAGATAAGAATTTTTTATCACATCTACTACTTGTTAATGGGGCACAAACTTTTAAAGGAACTTTTAGCGCTTGTGTTACGCACATGTCCTCTGGTTTATCCACACATCAATTTGATATTATAAGGTTACATGTCAGAGACATTTTTAAGAAGAGCATTTGCATTCCAAGATACTGTTTGTTTTGTAGCTACGCTCCACATCTACGCTTGTCTGCAGTCAGCAGTAATCGAAGACTCCAGAAGTGGTCACCAGCAGCTGACAGAAGCTCTGCGGCACGTCAGAGATACCGTTCCAGGTCAGGGCGGTGAAATCTCCCGGCAACATTCTGACAGCACGCCTCCGACCTGGCGTCACATTATCCGACCATTGCCAACCACCCTGAGCCCAAAACACACAGACTTGGAGACAAACAACAACAATGCGGATAGGATGAGGGTCATTAATGATGTATTTCGCTGGATTAGCTTTGAAAGGAACGAAGTAGGACTTGATGTCCAGATATTGACAACTGGTTTATGGCTCTTAGTAACTCACGCATTTCAACGTATTTTCGCCGCATTTCCATGGAAAGCCCGCAGGGCTAGATTGACTGCTGAACGTCAAACAGGGCAGATATTTGTAGCACAAGACGCGGAAACTGCAGCACTTTCGTTTATGTTTTATTTTGTTTTTATTCACCGTAGACGTAGACGTATGAAACACAGTAAACTTCTGTTATAACTATTGCTGGCCAATCTTAAGGCACATTGGTGTCTCGAGATTGTACATACAGACATGAAGCTTATATGATATAGTGACTATTAAGTATATTCTGACACTAAGTATATTCTGATACTTGCATGCACAACATTACATACCTGAGATATCCTTGGTCAATTTTTCTAGGACCTGATAATAACGGTCACGATATACGCGTATTTCCATATTAGACACTGGTTAGTCAGTTTTCGTACCTGAGTAGCGTTAGCATTTGCTTTACATAAAACAAAGTTTACCTGATAATGAGATAAATATTTTGCAATCTGAATAAATAAAGGAGTTTCTACGTACGAAGCTTGAAGTGTGATTCGTAGTAAACTATCTTTGTGATAAAGTAGATGTCTCTAACCTGTCGATATCCCTAACGTGTTTTAATGAAGACTACCAGACCTATATTCTCAGTCATGTACTCCTCTCGACGACCTACTGCAGTAGGATTACACAAACAATAATGCTTCCCAGCCCAACGGCAAACATCAGAACCCTGTCCAGCACAAGAGCCACCATCTTCCACTCGTCCTGGTCCTCTTCTTCGGCTTTCTTCTCGTGCACGCTGTGAGCGAACCCCCGCATGTAGCGCGAAATCTCACGGAGAGACAGATCGAGCTCGAGAGTTGCTGAGTTCTTCTGTTCAAACGCCTCGTCATCGTCAATTAGGATGGCAGGGTTGTCGACGCCCTCTAGGCCTTTGGCGGGATGAACCACTTGTTTCTCTTCCGCCATGGTGCCCATACAGAAAAGGCGAGCCAGGTAGCGCAGCAGAAGCAGGCGGAGCCAGCGGGGCAGCGGGCGGGAGGGCGGGCTGCTGTAGGACAGGCGGATCACCACGATGGAGGCCAGGCACGAGAAGCCCACCAGCCCGATGGTGGCGGCGAAGAACTGACCCAGCTGAGGAGTCGTTGTTGACGTTTTTGGCAGAGAATCTGACAAAACCTGCAGGAAGACGACGAGAGCCAGCAGGATGGTCATGGAGAATCCCAGCCGCTCGCCGCTGTCCGGGGGGATGTAGAACCCGAACACGTTCAGTACCATCAGGACAATACAGGGCAGAACCATGTTGAACATGTAGAAGTAAGACCGACGTTCAAGTTGCAGTTTGACGATGATGGAGACGTAAGGCTCGGGACAGCAGGGGTAGATGGCCACCTATGTTGGGTTAATGAGCAGTTAGACGGAGACATAGTGTGGTCATTGTAAGGATTCAACTTTGAAGCACACCAACAGTACTAACAGTTACTAGTATATTAGCGACCATTTCGTGTGCTTCAGACGATTTATTTTCCGTACCATAAGGATGATACACGGAAAATGCAAGAAATGAAACTACATTGCTGTATTTCATGATGCGATACAACACGTCATAGAAGTAGTTAAGTACATACCCGCCTTTCCATTGGCACTGCATTGAGGATCCATTCTTCGTTCTTGGTGAAGACTGCACGGTCCGCGTAGGGGTTGACTAGGGACAGGTTTAGATGGGAGCCCGTGTAGATCCACGACCCAAACTCCAGCTCACATTCCTGTAAAATATGGTAAATGTCCCGCACATTCCAACCTTACTAAAACGCGATGAATGAAGCAAAGGAATAACAACTAATGAATGATAAAAGCATATCATAAGTATAAACAAAAACAGACTTCAATTTATAAAGACAAGTTTTGCAAACTAGTAGAGAAAACAAAATCCAGAACATGCGTTTGGGAAATACGGAATTAAGTGCAATATTGTACATCGTGTGAAATTGCTTCTACACTCACTCACCTGCTTGTCAAATGGAAATTTCTCAATTTGCACTGGGCATGAGCTGGTAAAGATGGCGGGCTGTAGGTACGTCACTCGTCCTGCGCTGGTCACGGTGACGTCAGTGATGGTGGGTACGACACCGTACGTCTCGGCTATGCTGAGGTTTCAAATAGAACACGCTTATCAAAAACAAGAAAGGCAAAAGAAAATAACGCATCTGACTGTAGACAGAAAGAAGCAACTCACTTGTTGTAGAGGAAGATATCAGGCCTCCAAACGTCGGATGAGTGGATGGTTAGATATTCTACCCCGTCATGCTCTGAAGCGTTCCACGTCAGGAACTCATCGTCCCAGTACTGTGTGTATTGGGTAGCAGAAAGATTGTGTCAAGGATTATCCACCTATCAATTTTGTCATCAGTTCATATCCGATCCTACAGAGTAGAGGTATACTTGCATTTTGACATAAACAAAACATGATTGATGTAAACAAACACATTTTGTCGATGTAGAAAACAAGTGGAAATAAGAACCACACCCACCAGTCGCAGCCAGACGTTGAGTCGAAATGTTTGCTCCTTTTCAGCCTGGAAATAATGTGAAATTGTACCTTATATGGGTAATCCTAAGGACAAAGTGACACGATAGTAACTTGACAAAATATGTTTGCTTATCTGCAGGTAGGGAAAGGTAGGGATGATTGGTTTAGTGCGGATGTCGTTAACCTTAATGAGAAGTTTACATAAACAACCCAGGTTGAGCTGAAAGCAAAACACACCGACCCATGCCTGCATTCTCGCGACATATGGTGATCCCGATAGAGAATAGACTCCTTATTTACTTCATGTCCTACAGGTGCTAATCTTCATACATCCATACATAAAAAAAACTAGACAAACACAGCGTCAGAGATCTTTAGCACGAAGCAAGACACCACTTTACCCATTCAATACCTCTTACCAGGTCGATGATCTGTCTCAGGGAGAAGTCGAAGTCCACATTTACAGCTGTAGACGCTGACTTGACCGGCCTCAAACTTTTGTCATAGTTGGACAAGAGAGACGACTTTAGGTCAATGGCCGCCTCCTGGCCAAGGGAGTCTGAAAATGCACCATTGCTTTAAGTTTAACACGCAATACGTATCTACACCTTATCGTAAATCTAGTCATCTAGGTAGTGTTGTAGGATCAGCAGTCATGCAAATTGCACACATAAAGCACCATAATTGTTGATTCAAGCTGACGCATCTGATACTAATGTTTGAACTGCACGTAAAGATAGCAATCGAATTAACGAAATGGACAAAAATTACGGAAGTACTAATCATCAATATACGGCCAAAATATTATGCGATTAAATTTAGAATGTATCCAGCTTGCTTGTACCTATTGTGAGGCTTCTGCCATGTTTACTATAGAAATTCAATAATTTGGTCCCAAATAAGCCCGCATGCAGTAGTTTCGCAATAATGGTGCTATAACTGTATATAAATCACTTTGAACATGAAGACTTACCAGGTATCCATGAGGAAAATGTCACGAAGACGAAGAAGCCCAACGTGACTCTCATGTCGCTGTCTGCAGTATGACTGAGTGACGGGAGGGTGTGTACGCGTAGTGTACAGGAGGATTGAGTAAGACAGTAAGTTATTCAGCCAGCTGATATATGATGCCTCTGTGTGTCAGGGTCGGTAAACGTCTCTAGGATCGCTGAGGGTTAGCGTGTGGACAGAATATGCATACAGGCTAAACATCGGCAACGGCGTTAGTAGAAACGTATTATAAAGGGCGGATAGAATGTCTCATTTGTCATCATCCCGGACAATAGTTGTCAGCATGGCTTACGGTGACCGGGGTGGGGTGATGTGGATGGTTGGAAGTCACCATCAGAGGCCTGTTATAGTCAATTCAGATCTGTTTTACCGACGTTGACTAATACTAAATCTGATTGTAACATTGCAGAGAGCTGATAGACTCGAGATGGTAACATTTTAATAGACCTTTAATGTAGTCAAAGACGACGTTCCATTGCAGGTCCGAGCAAAGATTCCTAATTACCCTGACAATATTGGACCCTTGTTGGGGTCAGAGGGTAACATCACTCCCACATAATGTGTCACTTATACCCTGAAAAGCAAGCAAGTGTACGTTACAACGTTTAGTATCAAACTTTTATTCTTCGGCATTTTCTGCACATCTCGCAAAGACGTACATGTATTGAAAGTTCTCTAAGCAGGCCCTGTATGTATCATAATGACTAGTATGCAACCTTCCCCAAATACTAAATATACCTGATAACACAGTTTGATATATATGTCTGCATTATATGTATAAATGTAATATCTAGGGCACATAGGGTGCATGTGCAACAACTACATTAAGCACCACTCTACACTGGAAACGTTTCACAACTCTACACTGGAGACGTCTCACAACCGTGGAGTCCTAATGTAAAAAGGTTACACAGACGATGAAAGCTGAGAGGCCCACGGCAAACATCAGAGCCCTGTCCAGCACCAGAGCCGCCATCTTCCACTCGTCCTGGTCCTCTTCTTCTTCTTTCTTCTCGCTTGCCCGGTGAGAGAATTCCCGGATGTGGCGCGAAATCTCACTGAGAGGCAGTGAGAGCACTGTTAAGTTGTTACAACATGTTTGACTGATTCGTCGTCTAAATCACGTATGGCGGGGTTATCGACGCCTTCTTTCGTCGAGTGATCCAAGTATAAGTGTTTCTCCTCCGCGATGGTGTTCATGCAGAAGAGGCGAGCCAGGTAGCGCAGCAGAAGCAGGCGGAGCCAGCGGGGCAGCGGGCGGGAGGGCGGGCTGCTGTAGGACAGGCGGATCACCACGATGGAGGCCAGGCACGAGAAGCCCACCAGCGCGATGGTGGCGGCGAAGAACTGGCCTGGAAGGAGGAAACGCAACATGAGCATAATATTCTAATATGATTTGAATTAGCAATGCGTCTTGAATTGTAAATAAACATTAGTTGTTCTCACCCAGTTGCGGAACAGTTGTCGAAGTTTTGGGCAGAGAGCTGGCTAACACCTGCAGGAAGACGACGAGAGCCAGCAGGATGGTCATGAAGAATCCCAGCCTCTCGCCGCTGTCCGGAGGGATGTAGAAGCCAAGTACGTTTAAAACCATCAGGATGATACAGGGGAGAACCATGTTGAACATGTAGAAGAAGGACCGACGCTCCAGTTGGACGGTAAGGACGGCAGTGGTGAAGGGCTCCGGGCAGCAGGGGTAGAGGGCCACCTGCTGGGTTGATGGGTGATAAATTGAAACTGTATGCTACATTATAGTTGGTTACAATACTACCAAACAGTGTGCTCATCTGTTCTACGTTAAAACTTGACGAAAGTCCACTATCATGATAGAAATATGACACATATCGTGATATTCAATGAAGTGCATATAATACCCATACCCGTCTTTCCATTGGCACTCCTTTCAGAATCCATTCTTCGTTCTTGGTGAAAACCCTACGGTCCGCATAGGGGTTGACTAGGGACAGGTTCAGTTTGCTGCTTGCGTACATCCACGACCCGAATTCCAGCTCACATTCCTGCAAGGCACCGGGATTCTCACAACAGATGGACTTTCTCGAGCTATTAAATCACTATGAATGGAAAGATTTTTCTCACACCCACTTGAAACCTGTCAGAAAACTCAACAACGTCCACTTACCTGCTTGTCGAACGGAAATCTTTCAATCCCCACTGGGCACGCGCTGGTAAAGATGGCGGGCTGTAGGTACGTCACCCGTCCGTCACTGGTTACGGTGACGTCAGTGACGGGCTCTATGGCACCGTACGTCTCGGCTATGCTGTTGGTTTCAAATAAAGAATACTACTGTTTAAAAAAAATTAAAGTAAGTTATAAAGAAGGTAAAAGTAAAGCAAAACCGTTGAACATGTGCCTAATCTGTTACGCCATTTTGTTAAAGTTGTGTCTCATTTCTATTCAACTCACTTGTTGTAAAGAAAGATGTCAGGTCTCCAAATGTCCGCAGAATGGATAGTTAAGGTGTCCACTCCGTCGTGCTCTGAGGCGTTCCACGTCAGGTACTCATCCTCCCAGTACTGTAGGTTAGAGACAACATGTGAAAAATGGCGTCAACACTTTCACAACCTGTAGACTGAATGTATATTGCCATCACATAGTATAAGCACTAACATTTTGCCAATGATTTAGAAATTTGAAAATGTGTTGATAAGGTAATAGACCACACTCACCAAGCGCAGCCAGACGTTAAGCCGAAATGTTTGCTCTTTTTCTGCCTGGAAAATATTGTCATAGTTGTAGATTTCTATAGAGTTATAGTCATAAAAACGTAATGAAACACAAACTACTAAGCACAAAGCAACACGGTCAGTTCAGTCCTTACCAGTTCAATGATCTGTCTGAGGGAGATGTCGAAGTCCACATTCACAGCTGTAGACGCTGACTTGACCGGCCGCAAACTTTTGTCATAGTTGTACAGGAGAGACGCCTTCAAGGCCATTGCCGTCTTTTGGGCGGCGGAATCTGAAAATGATAAAGTGACGTCTTAAGCTGTCAATGTCTATGCAGAAAAAGACAATGTTGAGTTAGTCTATCAATAGTGGGAAACTTTGTCCAGGTTCAATATTTTGTCATTTATACAATGAAATAGAATAAGTAGTAATCCACAGACATACATGTACATGTATTTGTCGTAGGATACAGTACACATACCGGGGATCCATGTATAGAGCGTTGTGAGGAGGAAAATGTTCAGCGCGATCTTCATGCCGATGGCTGCAGTACTTCCGGATATGAATAGCTATCTGAGGTCCGTGTACTGTAGGATATTAGATAAGACGGTAAGACTGGTGATGCACTACAAAAATGTATGTTATGTTATGTTACCGACACTTGACTTCCACACAAAATCTAAGGATTACTTTGTGGACTAAAACGGAATAGTAACCCCGTAACAACTCACGTTGATGGCTAACATTTTCTGTTTTGTTTGTCACTCCGAAAAGTTTAAATTTCTTCAAAAAGAGAAATACCGAGGAACAAAATGGGGTTACTTACATTCCGTTTCCCGTTCGACCTACCCTGGCAGTCCGTAGATCCTCTCTGGACAGGAGGGATAGTGGAGCCCGTATGAGCGTTGACTATGAGAAGCTGAAGCTTAAACCATTCCCAACAAACGTCCAATACCGAAAATAGAAGAGTTAATAGATAAAGAAGGACATGCCCGCATCGCTTCTGTGATAGTCGACGTCACTAGACGTTTTTATCAGATGTTGATGACAGGATCCTGTCGTCGAAAGTTAGCATGCCAGACTTCATTTGGTCATTTCAGGCTTACTGTTAAGCCCTTCTGGCTTAGAAACAGTTCGGTATGTTTACAGAAGATGGTTGACAGGGGTCTTCAAGGAATCTGGAGACTTCATTGATGACATGTCTATCGTCAGTATAATGGCTGGAAAGATCACCATGTTCGTTTGGATTGAGTGCTTAACCGTCTGGAGAAAGTACAGAGCTGATGACTAGGCTGTCAACATGTCGTGTAAGGATTCCCTAAAGCAGTGTATGCCATTTGTCAAACCGCGTTTCTATCAATACAAAGTGGCAACAATTCAAGCCACTTTTACACGCACTATGTAAAACATTTTCTTTTGTGGGATAACTGATGACTGCTACTTTTTACGTGTTCTCTTCGTCTTTGTCATACATTGTACTAGTTACAGTTGTTGAGCAATAAAGTTGATTCGACTTGATTTGATTCTCACTCGAGGTTGCGAACACGCGTCGCAAATATACTGAACACAGAGAATATAACACATGAAGATTTACAAATTGATTTCTCAAGTGATTTTCAAGGTTTTCACCTTTTTGGATCATTTTTATCGCCGCGTAAGAACCCTAGCTAGCGCTTTCCAGCGTGCGCGCGGGAGGTACTGAGGTTTGCGTCACATCATTTCCTAAAAATAGAATTTGTTCTGTCGGTCATCTCCGCTAAATACGTCTGCGACACACATTTGAAATCTATCAGGGTGTATTATTCTAGGTTTGTAAATATTTGTCACCGTGTAAGGCATGTTGTCCTGGCAACGAGAAACAGCCTTTTTTTAGATCAATGGCTCGTGTGTACCGCTTTTGTTCATACTGTTTACAGAGTATTACATGATGGCAAGTACAGATCTGGACTATCTCTTGTTTGTACCATCAGTATAAAATGTCGATCTATATGTGACAATTAAATATATTCCATAAATCTATACTATATTTGAGTTGTATTTAGATATGAGAGTAAAACCTCTCACTTGAGAGTGAATAGATCCTATTATGTACACAATGAAGTGGAAACATGACCATCAACAAAAAATAGACGTACCTTACGGTTCATTTAACATCAATTGACGCTTATATACTACAGAGGATAAGGAGGCGATTGCTCTTATGAAATGTTGTAAAAGTCTGTAATCCTAATGTGTTAGGTTGGTGACAAGTTAAAATTCAATCGAATGAAAGTGTTGTCCGCCTATCGTAGGCTGTCAACACTAATCCTGCTTATAAATAAACGAGGATCTTCAATCTTGATCCTTAGCCTGTACCGCTTTTCTAAACATTAGGATGTTGACCAGACCAGGAATTTATCGGAAAACTGAAACATGTTCTATACATTACTCGGTGTTTCGACAAAGTGCTCACAGTACGTTAGTCTCAATGAGCTCGAGCGCTGTCGCTAACTAGGATTGAAAATGTTTACAGGGAATTTGCCTAATCAACCGTGAAGTTTACAAAACACAATTTCGGTAACATTGCACGCCTCAGTTCATCTGAATCGGCGGCTTGGTTTGAGAGGAGCGAAGGAAGTTGTCAGGGAAGTGAACTCAAGTAAATGCCACAAAAAGTTTTCTTTCGCCACCTTTGGACTAAAACCGTACGTTTTATGAGTTCCTTATCTTTTAAAAAGCGAGGTGCTCTCTGGCCAACCCATGTCGACACACACAGATATGCTGACATGTGTAAACATCTCACGTGGAAAAGGCAAGAAGGGTTTTTGTGTGGCAATAGTGTCGCTGTACGGGGGAGGAGAGTGTACTGTTGATTTTAGGATATCACTTCATTCTGTTCTTTACATATGCTGGTTTGATTGCCACGGCAAAGCTGACTGACAAGGAAGATGATGTAAGCCATACAGCTATATAAACAGTATCATGTGGTCAATGGGGGCAAGGACCTTATGCAATCAGTTGTTTCTTGGCTAAGAGCGCCCGTTTTGGAACTTAAGGGTATGTACTTGTCACATAACTGACATTCAATATGATAAAACATAGAACATAAACTTGACGTGGAAATGACATTACGTATAATGATTGGTTATGCTAAGTTATAGCGAGAGACAGAATTGAGCTCTCGTATAAGCATTGAGGAGTAAGTGACGTAAAACAGAGTAATTTGTTGTGACCGCCCCCATGTAACTCAAGTACGGACCACATTTACCTAACCCCGCGGGAGCCCTCCGCATTTTAGTGACGTCGCGGACGGGACCAGGCTGCGAAGTTGGAGTGTCCAACAAAACTGTCCAATATGAGGACCAGTGTGGCCATAATTGTTCTGGCAACACTGATAATTGTGCCAGGTAAACTTCGTGAATTAGTTTTCAGTTTTACCTCCTTATTTACTTCTTACACGCCTTCTTACGTACTTCTTATGTGCAGCTGTGATGCAAAGAAGATGCACAGACGCACACCCTTCGTTTAGACTATACATGAAAACTGTTTATGAAAAAAAGATATATGTAGATGTCATATTGCGACTAACAATGTGACGTTTACAGAAATTCGATGTCAGCAAGTTGCGGAGGCCCTGAAGACCCACTTGCTGACAGGGTATGACAAGTACCTCCGCCCGGTGACCAACTCAAGCCAGAAGATCGACGTCACTTTTGGCGTGGGCCTGCGGCAAATCATCGACTTGGTAAGTAGAACCTGCTCAAGGCTGCGGCGTTCAACGAAAATGGCTTCACTGAATACGTGAATGGAAAGCAACAAGGCTACAGACATGTATCTCGCAATGAGTAATGGTTGAAAGTTGATACGACTCGACTCGTGTTTTAGTACGAGCCGTCGTACTGTTTGACAAAATGACAACATGCACACTGGATGTTCGATCTAAGTCTAATTAACTAAGCTAAAAATCTCAATCTCAAATACATAGCTGATGGTTGCCTCTCTCTATCCGTACAGAAAGAGAAAGAGCAAACGTTCCGAATCAACGTCTGGCTACGATTGGTATGTATAATATTTACTATACAACATCTTGTCTGAGACATCTTCGTTCTAATGAAGTTGTAATGATAAACAAAAAGATATGTGACTGCGAATACATTACCATTTTTCTCGTCTTCCTTGATTTAGAAATTTAACTTTAGTACGCTGAATACTCGTCACTGCTTTTGTAGTAAATTGTTCGCGACTTACTCGAAAGTTGTGTCCGTATTTTGTCAGTTCTGGACAGACTACCTGCTGCAGTGGAACGCTTCCGACTGGGGCGGTGTGACTTCAATAACCGTACATTCCTCCGAAATCTGGCGACCGGACGTATTCCTCTATAACAAGTACGTCCTCCCATCTATACATTACCTTGCACATTTAGAATCTGTCGGTGTGATATTAAAGCATTCCAGCGTGAACGATAGAGACGTAGCCTTGGTTTCTTTAATCCAATGTGCAGTTACCATTCCATAAATCCGACTACCAAAGGCCTTGTTTCTAGTCGTGTGTAGTTTGAATATTTGTCGCCTGCCTAAGTTCTTAATACAAGTTTTACTTTTTGGAGCAGTGATATCGATAAAAAGAAGTTTCTCGTAGCTACTTTACAAAAGCTCTCTTATACTTTTAGATCGTTTCACGCGTTCGTGTTTTATATTTACCATGTTGATCCTGACCATGCTGAAGTACGATGAAGTGTTCTTCCTTTTCACTTTATGATATTATCAGTACCTGTGGCGCATTATTTGAAGATCACACTTTGTATTATATTATTGCATCCACCCGAAGAAGTTACTTACACCTGTTCCCTCATCCGGCTTCCACCGGTTTTGGGTGGACGTTGAAAACAAGTCAACATATTGAACACATTAGATACAGATCGTATTCAAGCTACGTGTTGCTGATACTGTGTACACATTGTGGTTATCCAACAGTATTGGTGATTCCTACGGCAATGTAGAAGAGATCACCAGCATTACTGTCCAAAGCACCGGGTCAATCTCCTACTACCAGCCTGGCATCTTCGAAAGCGCATGTCCGGTTCATGTCGGGAGCTTCCCGTTTGACACACAGGTGGGGATTTTTGCTTTGGTTTGTTTATATCACAGTTCGTGATATACTTGTATTATCCCGTACATTCTTATACTATAGTTGAAGAGGTGTAATTTGACCATTTCTGTAATTCAGAAGATCAGAAGGCTCCGGGCTCACTTTTTTGGTTAGGATTAATTCGAAATCTGTCATTTGTAACATCCGACGTAGAAGATGTTCCTCCCAGTCCCCAGTACAATTGTGAACCCTGTGGTCACGTTACAGTATACAAAGTCTTTGTTTTTCTAGTGTTATGTGTAAACAAATTTCAGGGGTGAATGGAAATGTATATGTTGCCATTGTGAGCGACTGTTTAAAAGGGAGGTAGGGAATGGCATAGATGAGAATTGTGGGGTACGGTCTAGCGCACATGTTGATATGAAGAAATGTCCTCCAATTTCGATCATAGTCTCATAGATCAAACAATATACTAGAACATAGTTTCACGTAAAAGCCATGAAGGGAGAATCTTTGAGGAAAAGTCTAAGCTATTGCGCTGTAGATAGTTTTAGTTGATGATGTTTTATGACACATTTTCATGACCTGTGGACCATGCCAATCTTGACCATCAGGAATGTGAGTTGGAGTTCGGGTCGTGGATTTACCACGGCTTCGTTCTGGACTTCCACAACAGCGCCAACGAGTCTGACCAGTCAAGTTACATCCCAAATGAGGAGTTCGTGCTCACAAGCTCCCCGCTCAGAAAAAAGGTAGGACTGCGCTGTATTGTTATAAACCGCTATCCGATTACATGGCAAATGACTATGCACGATCTGCACTATGTTACTTTGGACGCTTTCTGTAGAGTCTTATGCACGTGGAAGAAGCTGTTATTTAACCAAGCTGCTTCTTTGTTATCCTTTATTACACCAGGTTGGCTACTACTCCTGCTGTCCCGAACCGTACCCTTCAATGGTGATCAACTTCTACTTGCAAAGGCGGTCCTTCTTCTACATCTTCAACATGGTTCTCCCCTGTATCATCCTGATGGTACTGAACTGGTTCGGGTTCTACATCCCCCCGGACAGCGGCGAGCGGCTGGGATTCTTCATGACCATCCTGCTGGCTCTCGTCGTCTTCCTGCAGGTTCTGGCAGACATCTTGCCCAAAACCTCGCAGACCACTCCACTGCTGGGTGAGTGTCGTGCATCTGATTTGATTTTTTTTTCTGAAACAGGGTGGATCTGTTCTTTGAACCGCAATCTGACATAATGGAACTGATTTCATGCTAAGGAGGACTTATGTATTTCGTAAAAATAATGTACAGAAGTGAGAAGATATATGCTGTGTTCAATAACTTGATTCTACAATTACATTCGTCCACAGGAGTGTTCTTCGCTGCCACCATCGGACTGGTCGGCTTCTCGTGCCTGGTCTCCATCGTCATCATCCGCCTGTCCTGTAACAGCCCGCCGACCCGCCCCGTGCCCCGCTGGGTGCATGTGGTCCTCCTGCACGGCCTGGCTCGCCTCTTCTGCATGACCAGCATCTACAATGAAGACAACATGGTCAAAGTCAGCCCCACCGGTGGAGTGGCAGCAGACGACCTTGTAGTCGAGAGGGTGGTAAGCAACGGCCATGTCGTCAACGGAGATGTGGACAGCCCATACCCCACCAGGGTCACCAACGGGCGCCGAGAGTCCGTCAACGACCAGTCGGTCCTCACCGTCCTTCGCGGTCTCAACGCGCAAGTCACCAAACACTTCAACACTCTCGGGGAGAAGGCGACCGAGGAGGGGCACCAGGACGACTGGAAGATGGTGGCTCTTGTCCTGGACAGGTTTTTCCTTTGGGTGGTGGGTGCAGGAACGATTGCCGTCATAGTTTGTCTGTTCTTTGTCAGATACTAAATATATCCGGGGAATCCCAGTGGCCAGTCACGACGTCACAATGAACAAGCTACTATATCTCATCTGGAAAGCTAGATGGGACAGAACGTCAGATATGTCAGCGTGTAACACGTTTAATCGCTCGTTTAAGGGGCAATATGTAAGATAAAGGACAATATAGAAAGTAGATAATTAACTAATTAGCTCACTCCAGGAGACCCACCCACGGGACAGGATTTTGTTGTCTACACTGGGGCGGTCTATCTAGTGTAAACTATATCCTTGTGCAGCTTGTTTTTGCAGTTGGCACAGCACCAGAAAAACGAAATCACGAAATAGTGGTGCGAATATTGGAAAATATTGTTCTACATAATATTTGTAACTCTTCGACCAAAAACGTTACATAATGTACCCTTAAGAGCATTATAACCTGTTGTTCTTCTCTGGTGCAGTGGGCTTTGCTAGGGAATAGTTGTATGTTTTTGTGTGTGAGTCGTGTTATATATTTCATATGCTAAAATCTGCATGGAAGATATCCAAGGGCACGTATCACAATAATGGAATAATGGATCGCAGACGGGTTGTAAATTTAGTAAAATACATAAAGAAATCAATTGTTCTTACAGGCACCAATAAGGAGATGTAAATTATTGTTTTGTCAGTTGTTTGATATTTGAATTAAAAGCTAGTGTGCATCGGTCTAGTTTTATGAAGTGTATCTTACTATTATAAAACTATTATGAATGCTTGTATGTGAACGAGGAGGTCTAAAATGATGTGAATTAATAAGCCGTCGCTCTGAGTTAGAATATCCTATTCTTACTACTCTACTGTCCCGTCGACAGTAATGACGTAAGTGTTGTGTTGTGACTCCGTCAATACTGTAGTCATAATTCCACTTTGAAGTGCAGACCTTGTCTTTTATGTTGGTTCCAATTGCAAGTTACCAACAGTTATGAATTAAAGGTTTGTTACTAAGATGTTTACGTGTTACCGTTTGTCATGATCTTCTAATATTTGTTTCTTTACTATTATAGAGAAGCACTCTATGTTGCAAGTATTCAATAGTATGGACTATTAAGGTCTTATCTATCCTGCCTTTCTCGCTGACCCCCTGGCTAATGACGTGATCAGATCATTATCCGTCAGTGACTTGTCTGACCTAGTGATTAAAATCGTCGCCTGGCCTGGAGGAACAATTATGTCTTCTTCTTCTTCCCTTCAACGCCCACAATTATGTGTCCATTACTGCAATTAACTGAATGAAATACAGCCTTGAAAAAAAAAGGTCGGTGGAGCTCGAGTTTGGCTCTACAATGCATTTCAACACGGTAGGAAAACAGAAGTATCCTGTAACTCAATACTCTGGAAAGGTCAGATATCGATATTCATGAAAACTATGTTCTCGACTGGCAGCACAGTTTCTGCACTTAGTAGAACCCGTCTCTGGCCACCCTCCTGTTCAATAGACCCTTCCAAGAAAGCGAGGCCACCTCCTAAACAATATTGGGCTATATGCAGGAGTTGCCACAATGCAGCTTTTGTACAACACTACTATTGTAGTACTAACGCTCATACTACATGGTCTGAAATCAATGTTTTTTGTGTGTGTGATAATATATTGAAGTAGTTAACCACCACTGACAAACTCCATAAAGTTCCAAAGAAGTAAATCTTGAGTGGTGCAAGGACGGTAGCCACGCCCCCCGAGGACAGGTGTAACCAGTTGTTTATGGTGATGACGTCACCAGTGAACTTTCTGCCAGCGTGTACAACCAACATGGCGGCCAGTATAGCAGTCGGAGAATCAGCGCCTTCTCCCACCAAGAAATCAGCCGCAGAAAAACCACCGTCCAGTCTAGAGGAGGGCTTTCACAAGGTAAGAACGACTGGACGTAAGGGTATCTCTCTGGACGCATGTTTACTTTCGCTAGAGATGATAGGGTAATTATTGTTGACGTTGTCTGAAGCCGGTGAACGCCCCCCTCCCCTCATAGAACGTTCTTTTCCTTTGGCTTTTGGATATAATTTTGCACCTTATCGCGGAAGACATGCTCTAAATGTGGGATATACACGTCACTGATGGTACTGGAATCGTATATGAGGGTAGAAATTCAATTTCAGGGGATTCTCATCGAAAGACTGACTTGTAGGCAAAAATATATCCAAAATTTATATTCGTTTCATATCCATCTCTCCTGTTGATCTGGTATGTAATGATTTGGTTCCTCGAGTTGATCTATTGGTTTCGTCACCAATATGGGAGCCTTGTGTGAAAAATCACTTCGTTGGCATTATCTGGTCACATGAATATTATTGATTATTTGAAAGACCAAACATCAAATCTGCACCATGTTCGATCTGGATGTTGACAAGGTTGTTGACATAATTTGTCTGAAATTGAAAATTGGCAAAGAGACTCAGTGACTCATGACCAGTTGCGTCCCTGACATTGAGTTCAGACTTGCTTGATTTCTGAGAGAGATGACCTCATACTTTGGCATGTTTCTGAGCAAGCACTGATTTCCAAGCACTGATAGCTGTATATGTGTTGATGGAGAGTGACTGGAGGTTTGGCTTGTATAGGAGCCTGGGTAGACAACTACTTTCCTCGTTGTTAGTAGGACTTCTACATTCAAAAGGAATTGGGGGGGGGGGGATTAGATAAGGGTATGTTTAAAAAAAATAATCAAATGTCACAGGTAACCGTTAGGTGGTAAGCTAAAGGACATGTAGTGTAATGTAAAGTACAGTCAGTGACAAATAGTGAAACCTCAGATCGGTTGTTGGAAAGGCATTGATTGTAGGAGGAACTTGCAGTGATATGGGACAATGTCACACATGTCCATCTCACAACCTTGCATGGATGTTTTCAGATGATTGTTGACCCGGCGCTGAACGAGGTGAGCCAGCAGCTGGACAGTGCCATGAAGATACTGGATGACTATAATGAGTGAGTAACTGAATACACATCAATGGACAATCTACTCTATGATTTATCATAGCATAATGGTCCTAGCTAAAGAGACCTCATATTTCACATTTTAATTTGAGGTGATACATGTACACTATCAGTATCTATGTACGGTTGGTTGGAAATTTCAACCATAGAATTGGTCTGTGATATAGTGCATTTCACAATTGCCTTTCATTATTTTAGTACATTAAAGAAAGAGAGGGAAGAACGACTAGCTACAAGAAGAGACATCCCTGGCCCTCTGCAGGGAAGGTAGGAAATTACTGGACTGTGCGTCCAAGTTAACGTCCACAGTCTTTCAATTGATTTTACCATTAGCAAGCTATATGTGACCTCACATCCGTATTTGTGCCTTAGTTGTTCAGCATGCAAACTCTAAAGTGTTTACATGCACACATTAATGTCCTGCTTTGTACGTCAAGTTCCTGCCCAGCATTATTGATTTTTTTTAGTGTGAGGGAATGGTGTGTGGCATGTATCTCTTCCTTTCATTTTATGGATGTCAGTTGTCATCATCGATGATGCTGATGATGAGTTGTCATTGGGAGTACCTGTACCATTACAAGTATTTCTCAGGAAATCTTACTCATCAGCCATACGCTAAGGACTTTGTTAAACTGAACAATAATCATTGTTTTGCAGTGGACAGGACATGTCTGTTATTCTGCAACACATGCAGGATGTCATACATGGAACAGAGGACGAGATTCAGCAGAGGTAGGTTGGAAATCACACTGCTCAAGAGGCCAATTATAAAGATTGGTTTCATTCATGTAAAGCAGAGATTTCTCCATTTTTGGTTAGAAATCATCTAGTTTGAACGTATCAGTTAGAAGAGAGATCTTGCACTCTAACACAGACAAGATTACTCCTTTCGTCTGGGCCACATCCTGATGCCATAGGCCCATTTTACATTCCCCTTTCTCTTATTTAACATTTGATTAGGATTCAAACCAGGCAAAGTCCCAAATGGACATTACAACTTATAAAAAAAAAGGGAAGGCCAATTTTCCCCTAAGGGGGTTAATTAGAACTCTAATTACCATTTAACTGTGATGATGATTGCTCTCCCCCCAGCCCAGTGTTTACCCCCAGTATTGACAGTACCGCTAAGCTGGCGCTCCTGGGCCACAGTCTGGCTGCCTACGCCACCCTGCTGCCGCCTGACCGGCTCAGGCGCTTCACCACCAGGATCATCTCTGACACCACCCTGTGGCTGTCCAGGCTCTTCAGGTCAGACACAGTGATATATAGAAGAGTATGTAGTATAGAATAAAACAGCTCTAAAAGGACTCAAAGGTCCAATCAATGTAAAATGACATGTACTACTGGTATATAGAAGCTAAATTAACAAGATGTAACAAAAATTTGAAGACTGAATTTCTTCCATCAATGATAATGTTTTAGTGTTCTAGCACTTGCCCACATTTGAGATACCAGTCAAACATTATTCTAGGTTTGCCTGCTTATTCTAGTTTTAGTGTTCATATCATTATATCATGGTCACCATCATTATGCCTGGGGTCAACTAGCTTGTTCTGTGATCTTTTTCTGTCTTGTCTGGTGACTTCTGCCATCAATCTTATCTTTGCAGAAATCCTGGCGGGTTGGAACATTTCTGTTTTTCTGTCCCTTGCTTATCCACCTTTGCTCAGTTTTGTATAGAGATGTTTTCATCCTACAACTGTGTTCCTGCTGTCTTTGTATTGTTGTCAAAACAAATTTGGTGCATGAGTGAGTACAACAAGAGAATTGAGGCATGTAGATGTATAATGTAGTAGATTATTTTATGCACCATTCCAAAACATTTAATTTTGCAGTTGTAATTTTATCTCTAGCATGTCCATGTCTTATTTTATTCCCATTCCATGCATCCCAAATTTATTTCCCCTTATTTGACACAGATTTGAGAACGGGTCTGCGTACTACAATGAGGACGACAGGGAAGGGTTGATAAAAGTGTGCCGGCTTGTTCTACATTCCAAGTATCCCAAGTTTGCAGCAGAAGGCTTTAATGCACTGTACCCCAAACCTCCTGTAGTGTACATCAGTGCTGCCTCCAGGCCTGGCCTGGGACAGTACATCTGCAGTCAGGTAAGGGGAGCTATTTCATCAGATATTTGCTCTAGAAATCTTTCACAGGCATGGAGTACCGGTAGAACCATTCTGAATATAAAGTAGGCATGAGAACAAGTTTAAAGAGAATTACAATATCTTTAGAGATTAACGGACAAGAATTTGTACATTTGGAACTGTATTTCTTCCTCTTCTCACTGGTGTCAAGATTTTCATATTATTACTCGTATACATAAGTGTCATGATACCTTGATGTGTATTTGATGATATAGAATCAATAGAATTAACTTTTCCTTGTTTGTTTCCAGTTGGGCCTGCCCATGTCCAGCTTGTGTACTGTTCCCTGCAATACTGTCTTTGGATCTGTCCATACAATGGTGAGTTGTACAGGAGTGATTTTGTTATAAGTTTTACAAACATAATGAAGTTGCCTAGCTGCAGTCTTTGCAGAGTCTCTCCTTAAATCTTACAGGTGGAAAATGTTTGTTCCATTTTAATTCCAGGATGTGGCATCCTTTGAGAGGCTTGTGAAGGATGACATCAACTCTTCCAAACTTCCAGTCTTACTTGTTGCCAACGCAGGTACCTTAAGAACTATCACATACATGTATATGCATAGTTGACATAGTTGATTGCACATGCCTGATGACTTCCTCTCTATGAAATGTCCTGCCTGTGTGTAGGTGCCTTGAAGTCCTTTCCTTCCCCTATTGATTTCTATCCGTTGGGATATCAATGCATTCCTTTCTGTTATTGTTATTAAAGCTTTGTTCTTTAATTTTTTTATATACTAGTAGTTTGACATAATGTTATGTGTGTGTATCAGGTACCCCTGTAGCTGGTCACACAGACAACCTGACCAGACTACTGGAGATCTGCAAGGCCAATGCCATCTGGCTACACGTGGAGGGGTAGGTTATCTTCTTGACTTTAGGTCTTAGCAATAGTCTTTTAATTAGGCAAGTAAATGGGGCTACTTTATACAGTATATCTATAGCATCATGGATGACCCATGTAGAGTCAATAACAATAATCTCCGTCCATTCTTACCTTTGTTTCTAGGGTAAACTTGGCCACCTTGTCACTAACTGTTGTTCCAGATTCTGTGCTGGTAAGTGTTCTTATTGTCTCGTTTCATGTTGAATTGCTCTCTTTCAATAGTACTGGTAATATTGATATTACTGTACTTTGTGGAAACCCAGTACTAAGAAGAGTTGTAGGTAAAAAGAGTGATAAGGTACAAACTTTACCTTCCCAACCACTATGGTGAAGGGATTGCACTTGCCATATGATATATGTGTGCTCCCTGACATTATGAGTTTAACATAATGTGTTTTTGTTCATATAGCCTGCTGTGAAGTGTGACAGCATGACAGTGACACCAGGAGTGTGGCTAGGTCTGCCGTGCACCCCTGCTGTGGTATCCTTTACAACCACACTCACCATGCAAAACTGACCTGCTATTGTAGCATGTGTAATAGCAACAATTTGATTACAGATCTTAGTATTGCTTTAGGTTGAAGTTTGAGTTTGTTGCCCTAAAATTCAGTAGCATTCTTAGACTAATGTTTGTAATGTTTGTAATGTTTATAGATACATGGCCAAATACCAACATGCCTTCAAAATCACATTAGTTTATACCTTGACACATTTGTACCAGACATTGTACAGGACTGCAGATCCAGCCATGGTAAGTGTCATATGCTTGTAAAGATCCTGGAAGTTAGATGTTCTAAAAAGCTTTTAAGTTGATTTTTGGGGAAATTATACACTGGTAATGTCATCCAACCTTGTAAATTAAGGTTTAGCTTAGGTTTTAGAGTGTCATATGTGTAAAAACACCTTTGTTTCCCACCAAGGCTTTGGCTGCTGGTCTGAGTAACTCCCAGTCCCTGGAGCGAGTGCGCGCCCTTCCCCTCTGGCTCTGTCTGCAGAGTGTTGGACACCAGGGCATTGTCAAGAAGATCAAACATGCTGCAGATTTGGTAATTATATCAACTCTTCTTGCTGCTTTCTTAAATAGTTTGTAATGGACACTCTGTACACATATTGTCACTTCAGCCTAAATACTAGTATATCAAGCAAGATGTATCACAGAAATATGTTTTCAACATGTTGTCCACACTTGTAAATGACTATGTCATTATGAAATCAAAGCTTAAACTGTTCACTGTCTCTCCCTTTAGAGTTTACAACTGTCAGAAAAGCTGGACACAATTGCCACACTGAAGAAGTCGGTAAGTATCTGTAATCATTTGTAAGTTGTAACCCCAGACTGTCTAATTTCTGTTGCGTATTTGTGGGTGTGACTGGTGATTTTGGATGTCTCCACATGCCATGGGATGACCCTTGAGCCATAATATGTCCTACTTCTAGGAAAAGAAGAAAACGCAGCAGTCCAATACATTTGAGGTTAAAGGGTCGGTGAAGGAACTCCTAGTCAAGACCTTACTTTACCTTGTAAGTGTGTGGAGTGTGGACCTTAACTAAAGTCTTAACTGTGTTTTTCCCTAACCACCTGTGTAGACCAGCAGAACCAACACCAGTACTAGTACTAGTTGTAGGGAGACAGAGTAGTGGATCCATGTTTTCCTCACTTCTCTTCAGTAACTTCACACACATTCACATTCACATGTTTTGCACACCCCATCCTATTCCAGCCTTATCCCACCATGTAGATGCTAGTACTTGTACTAGTAGTACTACTGTAGGGAAACTCTTCCCACTCCTTTAGATTGAATTTTCAGCACAGTCTTGCCTCATGTAGATGTCTCTTACCTTTCATACCATTGTAGATAAGTAATCTTTCCTTGAACCCCTCTATGATCAGTGTATTGTTCTTGTAGTATTTTGCTTCTGATTAATTTTCAGCCTGTTTGTTTCTCCTCAGACCCAGTTTGATATTCCATCACCTGTAGTCATATTCAGATATGCAGAGAGCAGAGAAAAACCAGGTTAGTGTCTCATGTTCCTCTTCTTTGGTCAAAGTAGTCCAAGATTATCATTACCAGCAGATCATGCGGGACATATTGACATTGTAGTTTTCAACATCATCATTCTGTATCTTGAATGGGCACTAGACTACATGTTGTTGTGTACCAAACTGTGCATTTATATATACAGTTACTGTACAACAGTTACAAATGTTATTCTAAAAGAATATCACAGAAGACCAGAAAGAAACCTATAGCATTGTTATGTGTTACAACTGTTGAAACGATTTGTTCGTAAAAGTTTGATGGCATATTTTTGTCCAGGGGAAGAGGTGGCACCATATGCCGTTGCCAAACTGGATGATGACTCTAAGGAGTTGGATAAAGAGAAACACAGGCTGCTGTATAACACACTTAACAGATGGGTGAGTTGTTAATGGGATGTCTTTGTCTGTTCACTTTCATTTTGTCGGGACATATTGTTGTCCTTTTATAGACTTTCTTCAATTTGAATGCCTATAAGAGAGAATGACTGTAAAAGACAACCAAACAATCAGCTGATCTCAGGCAGAATGACATGTATACTAAGAAGACTGCTGTCTCCTGTTGACAAAGCTACTAGTACTTGCTCCTACATTGCTTTTACTTTCTGTGTACTTCCTACACTACAAATATTTGTTGACTTACTGGATGTATGTTCTTCCATCCGTCCAGCTGGGAGAGCGGTTGTCCAAGGATGTTCCCCAGCTCCAGCTGGACATAGTCGAGGTTGAACCTGAGGGTGTGTGTCTGAGGTTCAACCCTCTGCTCACAGCTGCCACCAGGGGAACACAGAGGGAACATGTGGACAGGCTGGTGGAATGTCTGGAGGAGCACACTGTACGTGGCACCATTGCATTTTTTTTACACAAGCAAGAATTTCAACAAGTAAAACTCATCCACTACCTTTGAAAAAAAAAGTGTTTTCTTTTATACATTTATCATGATGTCCTGACTGTTGCTCCCATGAACTTTGTGGTTGCAGGCTGTTCTGGACTGCACAGTTGACCAAAGAGAAGTATTCCAAGCTGCTGTAGAGGACCACCCCAACCTTTTGTCCATTGACGATGCCACCTGGCCAGGAGTTGGGGTACTGCAGTAAGTAAAAAAGACTGTCCAGGAAGCTATGTATTGGGAGAAACTGGGGGCTCATTGAAGCAGTGATATGGTAAACAAAACTGCACAGTGAAACTTGACAATGCAGATCGATTACATATGTACATGTGTATTGAGTTTACAAAAATTGTTTTACATGTAAGTTGAAGGCATCAAGATTCTTTTCTATACACAATTTTTTACTTCACAATCACAGATACATTCCTGAGTACTGGGGTCATCATTCACTGGAGAACCTGACAGAGGAAACCAAAACTGAAATGGACAAACTCAATGCTGACATAGTCCACAAGCTTTCAGACAAAGAGGACATCAGGTTCCAGAAGAGCACTGCTCCTAACGGGAGGACGTGTGTGTGCGTGGGACTTGTGTCGGATGATGTGAGTGTGGAGGAACTGGTGCAGGAGGTGTACGCCACAGGAAAGGAGCTAGAGGACTCCTCCAGGGTAAGATAGAGATCATCAATTTTTAGCTGTGAGCAATAGAAAAACTGACTGTGATAATCTTTATAAACCTTAATAAATCTCCTAGTGCCATATTGTCCAAAGTTGTATTGTATTTTTTATTTAGAAAGTTAGGATTGTAAAGGATAAGCGTCTTGCTTTAAATCAGCAAAAGCCTAGAATGGAATACTTAGCATTCACATAGTTGAAAGAAAGAAATTTTTTACAGCCACTGTCATCTTACAGTACCTGGGATATGCCACAGTTTGCTTGAATACAAAAGAGGATTTGTCTGGTATCACACAGCAGGACAGGATTATGTATGTACTAAAGTAAGCTGTATGTCTGTTGTCAGTTCCTGGAGAGAATGGCAGACATGGTGAGGAAGGGCATCGAGCAGGCAGAACAGGAACTGCAGAAGGCTAACGAGGAGAAAATCATGGAAGAGGTAGGATGAACTCCATGTGTGAAGTCAACAAGATCTGCTCTTATCTTAATTGCAGGTTCATGAAATCAAGGCATCTCATACATATCAGAGCTGCCAATCAGAGACAAAATTTGTTGAAGTCTGCATGTGTTGGGAAGACTTGGGCTTGTCACAAGATGACTACCGTGTATTAACTTCTTAAATTTGTTGATCTTCATAGAGGTTATCTTTGCTATGTACAAGTGTTAAAAATCAGTATCTTTCTCTATTAAACTTCTTGAGTTTTGATAACAGCCTGTCCATTCCTGTCTTTTACCAGGGTGTGATCAGACAGATCCCCATTGTTGGGTCTGTGTGGAACTGGCTGTCTCCTATCCAGGCCAAGACTCCTGGAGGCAACGTTAAGGGCACCACCTTTAACCTCTCTTCAGGTCAGTATAGAACAGGAAAACTCTTATATGGGTGACCTGGTTTGAACTACATGTATTCATACTCTGCAAGTCTGTGCTCTTTAAAATTTTTACACCAATCTTTGATAAACAGGTATTTCTACATTTACAGAAGTGTAAATTAGTACTAGTATACCATTTGCTTGTTCAGTGATATGACCATGAGTGACGAAAAGAACAATAAGAAAGTGTTAATCCTTGTGCAGGTTCTGTGGAAAGCACTGAGACCACTTACAAGTACAAGATGCAGATTCAGGGAGGAAGTCCCAACAGTTCTCCACTGAGCACTCCAGTATCCACTCCAACCAAAACATCTCCTAGTATGAAACTGGTGCTGCCTTCACCAACCAAACCTGAGGGGTCCCCCGGGAACAAGACAGATGACCAGATGGAAGATGAGGCTGCTGAGGAAGAGGAGGAGGAAGAAGAGGAAACTAAGGAGGGAGAAGATGAGAAGGAATTGGATGAGGAAGAAGGAGATGAGGAGGAAGGAACAGAAAATGGAGATACACAAGCCCAGGAGGATGATGGGTAGGAAATTCCTCAAGCACACAAAGGAGGAAATGATACTACAGTTGTGTGTGACTTACAAAGTTCATAATATTGCACTTACGATGAGACTTACATATCTTCTATGTGCCTTCCCTTCATTCATTTGAATCTCCTCTCCCACTTGAATCTCCTATCTTTGTGGACCATTTATATTCTTTGCTGTCCTCTGTCCTACATTTTTGTTCTATTGCAGGTCTGGTTTGATAACAGCAGGGCTTGGGCATCTCTGGCACATACTGTATGCTTTGTCTTCTCATTAATTTTGTACCAGTTCTATGTGTATCTTTTCTCCTTTCAAGCTCATTATCTTTTATCCAAGCTGGAGGATGATTTTAAGTTTGATATTTTTTTGTTTCATTTTGGTTGGTTGATTGTTTTTAAGAGCAGGTGCAGGGACTGTTCTTGTCTTAAGTCTCAACTTCGACATTGAAAAGCATTGTCTTTTTCCTACTAGGTCATCCTAGGGGCTGGTAGAGGACCTGTTCAGGTACAGGCATTTGGTGACTTGATGCCTTGCCCTGCTAACACTACAGCCGCTTATGATAAAATAACCATCTGCCACTTGCTTTTCTTTCTGTTCTTAAGTTTAAGAGAGAAAACACATGTACTAAAGGCCAAACTAAAAGCACACAAGAATGTAAAAATTGCCCACACTGCATGCATGGATCAGAGAAGCTATGTGTAGCAGTTGTTTGTTTCTGTGTACACAACTACTTGTGCTAACTTCTTAATGTATGGATATACTTCTTGTATACATTACATATGCTTTTAATACTAAATGACAGATCTGGCCTTCTTGTACATTTTGAGCACATAACAGCCACCACCTGCTTTGGTTTTTTTGTGAATTTGACACAATTGTACCAGCTTGCTTGCTTGTTGAAGAGCTGCTCCAACAATTTGGTTTGTCCATGATTTTACAAAGTATTTGATAGCAACCAATTGGTATTGCAAGTTTTACTAAGCAGTTAATTGTTGTCAAATATTAATCCTTATGCAGGAGATCCAACAAGTATGGATCTTGAAAGACAACATACACACATACATTTTTTATTGGTGAACCTAATAGATTTACTTAATTTTTCTAGGAATGACCAGACTCGTGCCTCAGAAGATTCTATACAGCAAACTGAGGGGGAAGTTGGTGACTCTGTCCCAGAGGAGACACCCAGTAGTGAGGAAAAGGACTCAAACACAGAAGCTGAGACTCAGGATCCTGTAGACACTTCAAACACTGATGGAAATGTAGTGGAAACTGAGGAGAGTAATAGTTAGGGGAAGACAGTAAGGTGGAGGTAGTCAAGAGGACAGGCAGTTTGACAGCAAAGTTGTATATTTTTTATGCATAATGACATTATGGTATAATTCTACTTATATGCATAAGTATACATTCAATTTGAATTGTAAGAGATTGGGCTAGCTGTATGCATGCTTGCCTTTCTATCATTAAGTCTGACTTTATGATATTTATTATTATTGGTATTTAATTTGTCATCCTCCCACCATTATTAATTGAAAAGGTGTACGTAAAATCATAGCCTTAAGAGTATTAAAGTCTATTATTTGTTGCTTAGCTGCTACTGAGGGAACTTGCCATTTTG